AAATGTAACGATGGGTGCGTTTAACCCCCAGGATCATTATTTCCCGCTCGTGCGGCGGACGATTAAAATTTCACGTAGCATTTTTCTCGGCCCCTCGCGTGACTCATCAACAATTTTCTCGGTTACGCTGTCGCGTGGATGGTCTCGGCTTCCGCAAATTATGCGCTCGGCGTCTCGAGGAGAGAAGAATGTTCGCACGCGCGAGCGCGCGTTTGCGAGGGAACGTTTCGGGATGATATCACCGATTCAAGGTCTAAAGTTTAAATCGTACAAGTAGGTGTTTAACTGGCCGATGACGTCAGACCACGCGCTACCGTGGCAAAAGACCTCGAACGTGGGTGTTTGGAAACGGGAGGGCAGAGCGTGGCAGGCGGAGACGCTCCGAGAACTCTCGTAAACATTCGCTCTGTACAGGGTGTGCGAGAAGCTATGTGCGCGGCGTCGGCGTCGCGTCGAGGGTATTTCGAAACGGAAAAAAGAATTCCAGATTGCCACTGAAACCGTGAAACGATACTGAATTCTTAGATTTCAATCGCTCGCAAGCCAACTCAGCCTGATTTCTCTAAATTTCAATGGAAAAAATAATATTCTCTTTAGTCATTCAAGGATTTACTCGTCGATAGTTCATTCTAGGCCAGCCTTTCCATTTATAGCTTCCAAATATGTCGTATAATCATTTCAAAAGCCGAAACATGAATTTTCTCAATGTTTCTTTTCTGAACTTAACCGCATTGTCTTCCGAGCGACTCTTTTAGCAGCATCGTCGCGACAGTACAAGAAAAGGCAATGATACTTTATTTTCGCACGGTATACAGGGAACTGTAACAAGAAAAAGTCCTTATTCCACGAGACTGCGATCTGAACGGATCCGTAGGACTCCATCACCTCCGACCGCTCCGATGGCCATCGGTCACTGTTGCTGACCCTTTTGGCCATCTTTGGTCACCGCTCGAGACCGCGCTTCCATCAGCTCTCCCAGCCCTCCCACCGCCGCCGTGAAAGGGTCTCAGAAATCCTTGGAAACTGCTCGCGGCCGGGACTGCTACTCCTTTGACGAACGTCGCGAATGTTCAGGCTCCCAGAACCACGTTGTCCGAGCTTGACTCGCGAATAAATTGGGCTTGCCCCAGTTTACTCGCGTTATCAAGGCAGCGGAGACGCTGTACGCGACCCTCAGCCCTCTGGCCCTTTATTACCGCCGCTTTTCGAGTAGCAGAATCGCTGTGGACCCTTATTCTTGGGATGCGTTTAAAAAATTCAACGCCCCGGTTGTTTGCACAACGATCGTCCAGCGTGCTCACGAAATTCAACAATGCTTCGTAACCTTTCCACGCGACGTTCAGCTTCACGGTAGCCATTGCGAGCTTGTTCTATCGTCTGTCAGGCTTCGTAGACTCGCGTCGAGCGAGCCGACTCGATGGAGACGTAACGCGTGCTCGAAAGAAGTCCTCGCAATGCGGTTCCCCGTGATTCGCGCGGCACGTGTGCGCGTCTCTCGATTTCTCCGGAGCCGAACAAGCGTAATACCCGTGCATTATCCTCGCAGGATCGATTCCTTCTCGTAACCGGCTGCATCGGGATGAAAAGTCGCGTGACCGTGGCACGGCGGAACCGGTTTCGAGCCAGACCCAGGCTTCGTTTCTCTACCCTTTCGGTTTCTTTCGTTCTCGTTGCGTGAAACTGCCTTCCCGCCGCGCGCCGTCGCCTCCTCTCCCTTTTTTTTCGCGTTCTCGCTGGAACGAAAGTCGGAGAAGAAGGATCGATCGAAAGAAAGCGCGGGCTTGCCGCCGCGCGGCGCGTCGCCTTTCCATTTTCACGGCGTTTCGTTTCGGAACACGGAATTCACCGGCGAAACGCGCCGCGTTTCGAGAGGAAAAACGGAACGGAGTCGACTGTGTCGTCGCGATAATAATGTAACATGGCGTGCAGTCTCTGGCAGTCGGAAATCTGAAAACTGGTACACCGACGAACAACCGTCGAAACGAAGCGTGAACGGGAACGAACGGAATTGCGACGGATTTCCAGCGGTGAACGATATCGTTTCGCCGGAATCGCGTTTCAAACGCTGCTGGGTATACGAAAGTAGCGACGTGGATCTCGCAAAAGCAAATCGAACGACGGATAAAGTTGAACGGTTACTACAGCCTCCGGAGCTTCGATGGTTTTCGATTAGAAGTCGGAAGTCAAACAGGTTATCTCCTCGCAATTAATTCGCGCATCGACGCGAAATCTATTAGCACTGCTCGAGCTTCGCGTGCACGCGGTAGGTCTTGCTTAGAAGAGCGCGGTGGCCAACGGAAGAGGAGGATCGCGCGCAAATTGGAAAAGGTTGCTAACCGAAGCTCGCTTCGACAAGCGAACGCAACAAATTCCGCGATTCTTGTTGCGTGCTAATGACCCGCCTACCTGTTTCCCGTCTGTCTATTTCTTTTGTCACGAACGTACCGTGCAACCGAGAGCTTGCGTTAAGCGTTCCCCGCGCGACAGAGAAACTCGAACAAGCGGAATATCGTCGAACTGTGGCAGCGGTGGGAATTAGATAGGAATAGCGGTTATCTTAATTAATCGTAAGAGGAAACGTTTCCAATTAGCCGTCGCAAGAAGAAATCGATGAGCGGACCGAGCCGAATCGCGTCGCGCATTAAAATTTCAGTCGCGAACCAGCGCGGTTGATTCGATATTCCCGCTGTCGCTTCTCCGTCGTGCGCGCGTTCGATCGAGCAAGGGCTCGCCGCTGAAGGGTTGAAAGTTTCGACGACAGGAGGAACGAGAAGGGAGGCGTAGTTCCCCGAAACTCGACGGTTCGTGCGTTACAATCCGCCGCGCGAAGCTCCCGCGTCGAAAAATATCGATTAAACGCTTACGCCGCAGATCCGTAGGGGTGACCCTCGAACGTAAGAGGGTCACCGTTTCCACCGCGGGGCGGTGGCGGCAAAAAACTATCCGGCGAATAGGGTGACAATCTGTCTCGAGGCAAATTCTCCGTTTTATCGTTCCGCAAGGTCGCCTCTCTCGTCGCTGGCTGCGTAGCGCACGGCTTTTTCCCTGACAAACAGAGCCGGCCTCCCCTCTCTCGCCGCCCCTCCTCGTCTTTCTGTTCTCTCGTTAACACGATTTACAACCCGGTAAAGGACAGAGGTCCCACCCAAGTGCTCTCACGCGAACAACACTCGCTTTTCGCGTCGAATCGTCGGATCCACCGCGCGTAATTGCTTCTCCGCGAGTGCGGATCGTCTATCGTACCTGCACCGACTCGATGGTTGGCCTGAGGAATGCAGGTCTAATTGGTTAGTTTTTATCTCGCTTTCAATTCTAATTTGCGGCTCGTCAATACGGTAACGCGTGACCAATCGAAGCTAAACAGAACACACACCGGGAAACACCTATTAACTTCGTGCCGTTCTGCTAGCAATTAACCGCTCGAGCGGTAGCCTATCGGTCGGTAGAATGGAATCGAGTTTATTTGTTTTCCTTTTAATCAGTCATTCTTATCCGTTCGATTGTCCACTTGGAAACGGATGAATGAAAGGCCGGTCATTTAGAATGTTTTTACGTGAAAATATTTCAGTTTGAAGCGGCGACCGCTGGTTTTCCGCCGGATTTTCGCACAGATTTTCGCACAGATTTTCGCACTCGAACCGTTGTGTCGTGGACGGACGGTAGATAGCTGTTCCGGCGATGCAACGTTATTGTATCGATACGGTTATCGAGTCATTTCGCAAATTGGCGTGTGTCAGCGCACCCTTTGGCACGGAGCCATTCGTGCAACACGTGAGGCCGAGGAGAAATAGTCGGCGACTAGAAGAGGCCGTCGACAGGGGAAGAAAAGTCGAGGCTGGTAAATCACCATTAGCTAATCGAGCCTTCTCGTGCAGGCCGCAATGTTAATCGATCCCAAGGCTTCACGGCTGTTGCCGATCGCTCGATATCCGTCCATTATGCTAAATCCCGCGGAAGTCCCGCTTAATCCCGTTTAATTTTCTTCGGGATTTTTTGCCCCGCGCGCGACGATAACCGCGGCTTTCGTTTATTTTCAATTTTCTCCCGGGGCTGGCAGCCTTTTTAGTACCGTTAATCCGTTAGATTCAATCTGCACCTTAAGCTCGAGGAGGGTCACGTTCGCGGTACGAAACGTTCGGTCGGTTCTCCATTGCCGGAGCGCAACTGTCTTTACGTTTCATTATCTTCGATAATTAACGCGCTCGCAAGAAACTTCGAGACGAGTTACAGATCGTTTCCACGTAGGATAATTCTGGATGAGATGGACCGATCTCAGGATCGATTGTTATACGAGCCTCTCACTAGCCAAGTCGAAAAATTACAAAATAAAAGTTATTTCAAAGATGTACTGTTTCATATATGTTACTCGGTTCTTAGATTCAAGCTTTGATTCGAATGATTTGATTCGAACATTAACTGCTGCATCAGTTTTCTCCGCTTGCATTTACATTTATGTATTTATAAACTTTTAACAGCCGAGCGTTTAAACCATCTTTCGAAAATGTCTATATAAAAGCTAAAAGCGTGAACTTATTAACCCTTTGCACTCGAGAATATTTTTCTCGACAAATATTGTAACAAGGAATATTTGGACAAATTGGATAAAGGAGTACCTTGCATAAATTAAGTGACAAAACTATTTCAATTTGATGTTCCACGTGTTGATACATTATATAAAATTTAATATTGAATCCGAAATTTTATCATTTCGCTCGGTCAAATCAAATGGCGACTGAAGGGCGCCTCTCGAGTGCAAAGGGTTAAGATTTCCATTAGTTTATATTTCAATTTAAGTATTACTGAATCAGTTTCTTCAATTACTTCTCAAAGTCTGTACCTTTGCAATCATTGTAAAGGAAGAAATTCTAAATCGGCCATTTCGTCTACTACCCGGTAGCTCTAAAACAAGTGACCCGTCTGTCCCCAACTCAGCCTATCGGCAGACGGCCACGAGCATCTCCGCACGACTCTCACGCGCCACGTTTGTGTTTGTTTTACAGCGAAGGTAGGGAAATGGTACGCGTGTCGTTGCTAGGACCACAACCTTCACCGACAACACCCGGCGTATTTCAGGTGCAGCCCATCGCGATATCGAGGACCCAGCCGATCGACATGGACGCCGTTCCAGCGGAACTCTTGACCACGCACACCGAACACACGGCCCCTGCTTACCACACGCAAATCAGGTAACCTTCTAATTTCTGTTCGTCCCGTCTCTCCGTGCGGCCTTCAGTATCGGACCATACGTAATTTGGTTACATATCGCCGAGAACGATTCAGCTGTAACACTTAAGTGAATTACAAACGATCTTCTACACTCGCCAATTGTTGCGAATTAGCAATTGAACTTGAAGCTCGGTCGCAGTGAATCATAATTAATGATATCTCTCATAATCGTCGGCCACTGCTAATTTCCAATTGAACTTGAGGCGATCGCAGCGCTGCTATAATTAATGGGCCGCAGCCTAGGAAGTTGCAGTCGAATTGAACGTTTCATTTTAACGATTAGTCTTGCTACGTATTCAGATTACGTTCCATCTCATTTCATTCCGTGCAACTAGCCAGCTCGCGGAGCGCGTCCACGAGCAAATCGACTGTCTTGCCCCACCTCTATCCTCCGGTCTATCGGTCGCGAGCGAGCTCTCCGGGCAACAAACGCGATTATTCCCCGGGATTAACGGGCACAAAGAGTTGCGCGGAGAATCGTCGCTAGCCGGAAGTCCTTATGGAATTAATCGCGGAATGGTCGTCGCGTCTCCCGATAAAAAGAGGATCGCGACGACGGATAGGCATTGAAACGATCGCGGACAAAGGAAGCCTCCGAAAAAACGGAAATGCCGTTTGTCCTGTTGAAAAAAGCACGGCATTTCCTTTAGAGAGCTTCAGCGTTTCGTTCATCGATTCCGCGTTTGATCGTACGAAGACAAAATACCGTATTCAACTTCTCCCGACAATAATTAGTCGAACACCGTCCTCCAAATCCTCTTTCACATTTTAACCATCTGCCGTCGAACACCGTCGTTACGTTGACCTCGAGCTATTATACCGGAAATCGAAAGCTCGAAATCAATGGAAACACTTATTCTCCTCCTTTACAATTGGGTACGATGCGAATCGGATCGGTTTAGATTCGAAAACCGAATAGTTAAAACTGAGAACAAACGATTCTTCTCATTTACAAATAGACGTTCAGCTTCGATAGCAGTAAAAAGAAATTTTACTCCTGAACCTCCGTGATTATAACAGAATCTGTACAGTACAAAATTAGAACTAAGGAAAAAACTGCCACGACAGTACCTGCGTCTATACTTGGAGTACTCGCAGGCCGCAGGCCCTAATTAACCAATCACTGCAAGGATGTGGGGTTCTCCAAAAAACGGTATAAGCATGATCAATGCTTTAACTTCAACAATTTCCCAATGCGCCCCACATTTCGATTCGCGGCGCGAATCGCTACGAGCTAGCAGGGTCCATCGACGAGTCATACGATCGTCGCAACACCTCGTTTGAAATGAGAGCCTCTGTCTTTCTTATAATTAGCTCCCTGCGCGCAACACCAGCGAGAGAGACCCCCCCGTGTTGCTCTTAATGGGCCGGAAGTGACGTGCCGTGTCCCTCCTCGGCCCCCGCCGCCCTTTCCACCGTCTTTCTCTCTTCGTCGTTCTACCCAATTTACTTACGACTCGTTCTTCGGGACTGTCCAGTCCTCTATGGACACGGTTAACCGAATAACCGTTACGCGTCCGCAGGCGCGTGCCCCTCGCCGTCACGTCGCGACAACGCGATCGGTTTATGAATCCGTTCCGTCGCTCGATCGAGCCGCGAATCGCCCGTCGCCCGATCGTTTTCCCTTCCTCGGTCCGCCTCGCTCCGTTTCCCGTTCGGCCCCGCTCGCTCGCTCCCGCGAAACCGTCTCGCGCGTATCGTTTTACCACGGCAGTGTACGTTTTCACCTCTGAAACTAATCGTCGCGTATTTCCTCGCCGCGCGCTTCCTCGATGAGCTGAACCTTACTCCCGTTGCTCGTCTCGCGTCGGTCTCGCGTGAGGAGAAGCTACTGTTCCGAGAACTGCCGATCGACTTTTCGAGTTTAAGAACTAGATAACCGAACATTAGTTTGAACAGTCTGCCAACTTCCGTCGCTTTTGCGAATTCAAGTGTGATGCTAGTATCTGCCAAGGCTACGTTATTTTTACGTGTTTCTCTATTTTTGTATCTTCTATCTTCAACAATAGAACCACCGTGCCAGTCGAAATGACTGGTTTCGGATATCGTTGCAATTTTTATAGGGATTGCATATCAATCGTATTAATGTTAAATTAACAATTAATAATTAATTGGTAGTTCTAGTGTTGATTTGTAGTTTGAGTCGAATGTTTAGTTCTGAACTACTTGAGTCTAGTTATCTACGGTTAAAATTCCACACTTGGCACTAGACGACTCTAGGTCACTTGATTCAGCAAGATCATAATACACCAATCACAATGCGTGAGATATTAAAACAGTAAAAATAGGAAGCAATAGTATCTAAGCTTTCTATAATCTGACCGAATTCCTATGGAAACGCGTCGGTCAGAAATGTCGCGAGCAACGCGCAAAGAATCGGAGCTCTCGGATTCACAGGCTTATCGCGTGTAACAGACGAACGCGTCGAACTCCCGAAGGGGCACTAATGACTCATTAGCGATGAGCGTTCACGCGCGTTCCACTATCGTCGATCACGATTGCCAATCGACCTACTCCTACTACAGGCCAGTCGCAGATTCAGCGCAGAATTAAAAAAGATCTCGCCGCTCGGGACGAAACCGGCGGCGGACGGACGAAGAACGAGGAACGAGGGTGCGAGAAAGGGGTGATATCGATCGACATCCTCTCGTTCTCGGAGTGCAACGTCCTGCGTGCCAGTCGCATCGTTCGTATTTTTCTTACGCGTGCGAACGATGCAAACCGGTGCCGCGCGTTTATCTTTAAATAGGCCGACTGACCCTCTTACGCAAGTCGCGCTAGCGCTTAATAGGTGTATCAAGCGCGTTACGAAGGCACGTTGCGAAGTCACGGTATCGACCTATTCGGCGATCGAGAGCCACAGCCTCGATTCCAGGTACAGCGGAACCCCTTACTTGTCGCTCGGAGAGTCCTCGCATTCCGACGATTCCCATCGCGAGCACCAGAACTTCTGGCAACTCGTGTCGCTGATGGGTTTCGCGTGGAACACGGCTGTCGGAGAGGAGAAAATAAGCCGGCACTGGCAGCTTCTCTATAGAAATTCGGGTCGCGACCCTTCGAGTCGGCGACGAGAGCCCTTACCGGACGCGGGAAACCCTCTGCCGGGAATCTCTGTTTAAGGACTCGTGAAGAGTCCTCTGAAGGGGATGACTTAACCCTTTACGGACGAAGATTATTTAACCCTTCGCGGACGAAGACTCTTTAACACTAGGTTTACTTAAATCGACGCATATTGGATTTTAGAAATATTATTTTGTAAATGTTCACGCCGATTTTGATTGATCACACTGACATGTACCCTAATTACCTACCGTCGAATCTCCAGTTTCCACAATCTGAATAAACGAGCATTCTTTTAGGAATAGTAGAATGAAGTGTACAGTAAATGCCTGTAAACCTAGCGTTAAAGTACACAAAGCTAGCAACATACGAAGATAAGTTATACATCGAATGCTTAAACAATAGAAATGAAGGAAACTACGCTGATCTGTTGCTATTTCAGTAATTAAATCAATCGTTCGCAACTTAGTATCACAGTATTGTTCGCAGCGCAGCAAACAATCATCGACGAGTAGTGAAACTGTTACCAAAACAGAGATGAGAAAGGACGAAGAGCGAGCAATCGGGTCCGCATTCCTCAGCCAGCCGTCAGGCGATCTCCCAACAATACTCGGACGCGAATTCCTAAGCTGTCGAGCCGCGGGCGCGAGATTTCGCGCGATCGCGGAACTTGGCAGGAATGCCGTTTCAACGAATCCTCGTTTGCTTCGGTCGGCGCAATGTAATCGTTCTTGCGAGAAAGTCTCTGTCCGCGGAAACGGTCGAACCGACTTTATCGTCGCAAAAATGTATGGCTCGCCCGAGAATCGAGCGGCGGTCAACGGATTTGTCGGGATTGGAAAACCTGCGGAGATCCGATAATACGTTTCGCCGTTGAAAGGGACGCTCGGCTTCGTGCGGCTGGCATTGTCGACCGCTCGCGGACGTACAGCGTCGCGGACAATCGACTCCTATCCACCGATCTGCGCGCAATTAGCCGCAAGCGACCTTTTCGTCGCGAGCGGCTTACGTAATCCCGCGTTCTGCTGCGTATTACCTGTGGAACGAGCTCATCGCGCGTCGCGCGCGCGCTGGAAGCCGGATCGAGAGGCCGCCGGGGAAACATTCCGGATCGGCGTTCGCAAAAGGTATACGCCCGGCCATCCCGCCGTTTCCTTTCCCATTGTCCTCCTTAGTCTGCCGGTTACATCGCTATCCACTCCGGCGCCGGTTACATAATACCCGGGTCCTGACTTCCTCCGGCGATAAAGCCGTTTCTCTACACCGCTCGGCGAAATTTCACCGGCAATTAAGAGGACGCGTTGTACGCGGAGCGTGTGTCGCGCTCGGAGTTCCCCGAAGCACGCTGACGTCGGTTTCGAGCGGATTGATAGGGAAACGGGATAGTCGTAGCTCGGGGAACCACGTTCGGATGGGGATAGATGGAAAACATCCTTGACGTTCGGAGAGAGCCGCGCGAGATGCAGGTTGATCAAATAAATCATGAGACACGAGTAAGTTGTATTTGAACTGTGGCAGTCGCGCTAACCTAATTCGCGATGCGCGTCTAAAAGTTAATGCCAGTTCCGACGGAGCAGACGAACCCGAGGCTTCGGAACTGTGGCTCGTAAAAATTGGCCCAGAAAGTTCACGCCAAGTATCGGGCGTACTTTATGCCTGTCGGAACGGGAATTAAATATGCTGGGGTAAAGGGGATTGTCTCTCCGTCGATCGGGAGTCGAACATGATTCTCCGGGTGATTTTGGAGGAACTCCAAGTCGGTTATCTGCCGGGGACTCTGATCCAATCATGGGGAGTTTTGGTGGACTCGAATTGACCGGGTTGACGGGAACATCCATTAGATCTAACCTTCTTTCCGCCGAAGGAGTCCCGTCGAGAAGCCGGTCGCCGGTGGTTCGAC